GTGGATTATTATCTAAAAACCGTCGAAAACATGGTTTTTGCCCTCAACAGCTTATTAAAAAATTACTACTACACTACTTTTTGTAGGGCAAAGATCCCTTCTAACTGGACTAAAAGTTGAAAATGAACATTAAAATCTCCTAAAATAGGCATTATAACAGTGGATTCGTATGACGCTTAGTACCACTATGCCGCATTATCGATCAGTTAATCCAGTCAGGATGATGGATACGGGGGATATTTAAGGGTAGCTTTCGTCGAAATTCAGCTTACCTTTAGGGCACCACCACGGTTTTGAAACAACCCAGAGAAACACTCGAAGGAATGAGGGTGGTTCGAGTTCCCCACGAGCACGCTCACTAGGTAGTATTTCCTTACGATAAGCTTTGTAAAGTATTAAACAAAACTCTTCGTTTAGTTTTAAATGAGGCCCTGCAGAACATCCGGTTACTGACTGATGAAACAGACCATTTTTTGTGTTTAATCCAATTTTTATACTTATCTCCGATATGTATGGTCTTATATGTATGCGCTTGTTTTAACCAGCTCGCGGTTATTTTTCACCAGCCAGCATTAAATTTTGAAGAATTACTATAAAGAAGATATCCAGCCAAAGGTAAGTTCCAAGTTGTTTCAACATAACAAGACGAAGAAATTATCAGAAGAATTTTCACCACGAATCGAAGAAGGTCTTCAACCCTCTACAAGATACTAATACAAATTAGCAACCCTTTTTCGGGGAAGAATTACCGAACCACCTTTTTATTTGTAACCATCTGTGACACAGCTCAATTTCAGATACCATCAAGGATCCATTAAAAAACCATCCTAGCCAAAATTTGTTTAAAAAAAATAATGTCTGAAAGTTTATAAAGTAGCTAGAAAAAAATTAATACCTATTTAGCAGTAATATGCTTGCAGACAAGCTAATAGTTGCTTCATGAAACTTATCTAAAGTTAGTTTCGTCTCTTTGACAAAATTACTTCCAGTCGATTATTTGTAATTACGGTATACATGTTAAAAGAAAAACGCAACGAATGTCGACGGTATATAGAGATTTAGTGCTTGGATGCATGTACATCATAGTAATAACGCCGATGCCACCTCTAACTTACATTTAAGTAGAGATGAATTTATTTTATATCGATTGAGGCCGTGTTGATAAGAAATATTAGACAATAGGAGAACGGTGATTAATAAGCAAAAACGGCGTAGTCAAGCTTCATTCCATTATTTTAATGTACACTGTCTAGTATCAAAGTTCTTATGCAAAGGTAAGACAATTAGGTACGCCGCTAATCGACCACATCCTCTTGGGATTGAATTAAATCATCGTGAAAAGTAGCACCAAGTGTTTAACACAAAAACACTTGCAAGATAACATTGGTATCTGCAATTAATGAAAATACATCTTACCAGCGTGAGTAATAGGAAATAATACGTTGAAAATCGCATTCAGTATGGCAGGTATCACATGAATGGCAGTTGGTGAACAAAAATTAAGAGGATGCTTTGAAACGCATTATGCCAAGTGATGCTTTGAAATCGCCTAAGCTATAAGCAAACGTCACCTAAATAGAAAAGCGACTACTGCCCTGCTACCCCTAACGTAGTATAGTGACATTTCCATTTCAATTAAATTTGAAAACTAACTTACAAAAGAACAAATTACAGTGTAAATGTACGTATTTCGGTAGATATTGTAATAAATAAAGCTAGAGAGGCAAATTAAGCCTTTAAAGGGTTTGCCCCTTTAATAACGATGTGGTGTACGGCCGGAAACTGAATTGAAAGGTTTGGGTCTTAGAAAACGGTTTCACGAATTAAACAGTGTGTAACGTGGCCAGGAATTGGGATGGTAGGCGATGAAATCCTAAGACAATGATAGTAAAGTTCTCAGAAATTAGTGTTGTAATCAAACGGTATTTAACTTACCACAAATTGGATGTGTTAAAGGGAATATTTTTATATTTTAGGTAACAATATGAACTTATACGATCAAACGAATAAAAGGAGCAAAAAAATCAGGCAACCCACATGAAACTGAAAAATGTTAACGATTTAAATTATGAAAAGTAATATTACAAATATTTGTGCCCTGCGTATTTTATCCAAATCGTACACCTTTTTTTTGTATGATTTAAGAATTTTGAGTAAATTACTAGAGAGTGTATAATATAATAAATTAACACTTGGATTAATTTTAACACCAAGTCACTTGTGTCCCAACCGCTGAACCGAAACCGAAGGTTTGTCGTTACGTAGAGATGCATAGATAAACATATTTTATTTTGTAGCACGTGTTAAACTGACAATTTAATAGGTTTGAATGAGTAGGCTAAGCCGTTCTTTAACTGTGAGGATAGATAAAGTGATCATTTTAAGAGGTTCCTTTAAAACACATGCCCCGCAAGATGGCGCCATAATTCCAAAGTTAGGTATATTTATTAGACACATTACTCTCGTATTACTGAAAATCATACAAATATGAGGATACATTCTGATTCTACTAGTCAAGGAGTCGGTAATAAGCTTTTTTGGGATCTTAATAATCATTATTAACCATAAAAACAAGGTTGAAACTTGAAATACTTAACAGCCTACTTTAAAGTAGTAGGTACTTTTTGAGATACTTAATACTTTCCCAACTATATGCGAAATTAATTGCCCAAATATCATCTCGCAAAAATTGATAATAAATGAAGAATGTGGTTAAAACCACCTCACGACATTTTTGACAAAATCATGAACACAAAAAAAACCAAACGAAATCCAATTTTTCACTACTGATCGAAATGCTTCCTTATAATTAACAATAGTATTACAAAAAAATCTTAAAACTAAATGTTAGTATTATGTACAAAAAATAATTAAGATCAAATGAAAAATGAAAAAGAATTATGGAAGCATTCGAGGTAAGTACTTAATGGGTTTTCTAAAATTTTATCTGCATAGGTAAAGTTCAACGGATAGCTGGACAGCGCTTGTTTTGTGAAGGTAAGTATGATTGATAATGATTGGACGTATCTCTGGCCTTTTGTCTTTACAGCTCCAACCTCTCAATATTTGAAATTCCTCTGGCTATACAGATGTACATCCAGATTGGAGGGATGCTTGTAGATGGCAAGAATGTAGGCTCCTGACTGGGAGATGATGCACCAGTTCTGACTTCTGACCGTTACTTTCGATATTTTTTTATATCGAAATAAGAACATCGGGAAATAGCTAAAATAGAATTTTCAATAGAAACTTTATTGCTTTACTTACGGCTTATGTCCAGCCCTATTTCGTCTTGTGGAAAAATTTCCACTAGTGACAAAATTCAAATTAGAAAAAAAACTGGTACGCTTCTGAAACGGATTACATTTAAATTACTTATTACTTAGAATTAATTTACTTACGCTCAGAAGTCAGACTAATTACTTAATTAAATTAAACAATTGATCCGTCAATGGACGACAAATAATTTAAATTATATCGCATTCGCAATACAACTGCAATGGGTAAATAATGACAAAAATATGTTTAAATTCTTGTAACGGAAAACTGTACAGTAATCCGTTACAACATTGACAACGAAAGATAATCAAAGCAAGATACTTCGACTGGTGATCAGTCGCACCGACCATCAGGATTGATCATCAGTCGTTTATGAAACGGGCCTATAGAGTTTAGATTATCAGGTATTTGCAAATTTCTTTACATAATTACCCAAAAAAATGGACAAATACTGTTTTTTTCCTTTTTCCTGATATTTAATATCTCATTTCAGTCATTATTAATAATTTTTACAAATGTTTTTTTTAGTGCGATGGCCATTTTTTAGTCGTGATTTTGGAAAAATTTTAGCGATTATAAAATTTTTATATATTGCGGAATTGAGTTACTGAGAAAATAAGAAATCGAAATACTAACAGTTTATTCACATAACAGAAATAGTTATTTACATAAAAGTCAGGAAAATGATTACTGGCAAGGAAATATTTAAGTACCAGGCCCCTTTGTCAGAGTTTTGTATTAAATTTTACCCCAAATCGTATTTTAATATAAACTTTTCATATAGAACTTTTGATTAATATTGCTGTGTTATTTCGTCTGGCAGCACGAAATTTTGGGATTCTTAACTAGAATGGACAAGGGCGGTTTCAATGTAATTAATTTTCTTAAATCTAAATTTTTGTTTTGTGTCGTTCGTTAAGTACTTCAACAGAAATTATTGTTACGAAAAAGAGGTCAAGGGTTGTATTGTTTACATTTTAATCTCATCTTTGATTTTATTTAACGTAGATTTCTGAGAATTTTATAGCGCTTTTATTCTGTTATCATTGTAAACGCTTAATTTAATTGACAGGTGGATGTTATTTATCGCCTTTTCATTGTATTTAAAAGACAGAAAATTCTATTTTTCCTAGAATTTTAAGCTTTATGTTATCTCTTAATGTCGGTTAAAATTTGATTATAAAAATAATTTCTACCTCTAGTTTAACTTACGTTAGTGGGGAAATTTTCTGTTGGCAACTGCTTATCATTGGCTGTTTTAATTTGTAATTTTGGAAGAAGGGTTTCCACCTTAAATAGAACGGACTGAGAAGAGGAAGGGCTTTTTGCCAAGTTCAGAACGGAACTACGTTTGTTTGAGATTGAAATCAGCATTTTGTTGAAGTTTGAAGTTTTTATCGTCAGTTTGTTGCCAGTCAGGGCAGTTTTTGGTTTGAGTGAAGATTGTTTATTTCGCTTCGACGAGTTACCGCAGTAGTTTGGTTTGTGTAGAGGCCAGCAGCATTGGATGTTGGTGGAATTTCCGTTTTACGGAGTGGCAAGCCGAGTTGGGTAATATTTATACAATTAGAGAAGAAAGTGAAATTGTGCAACTCGAGTTCAAAGTTTGACACATGAGCGTAGCGAGTGTGTCAATTGAAGGAGATGTGAAAAACACTTTATTCAGTTTAACATATAAGTTTTTCTGAAACTAGAATCAAAATTGAAAAATTATCGTATGCAATACTGCCCTGCTAAGCAAAACCCCCGTATAGTCATTTATTATATAAATTTAGCTAAGCCCTATCCAATTTAGGAATTGGGATTTTTTCTCTTCATGGGCCATTGTAGCATCTAAAATAAATGGAGGAACTCGGCATTTTCTTCCATTTCCGATATTATTTGTAATAATTTCAGGAGCCACACATTCCTTATAAAACTGGCGTAACTTCTCCTGCCACAGTTTTTCATCCCTACTGATTCTTTTAATTTTTTAACATTGTCGCTAACATATATTATAAAGTAACAGACAGATCTTTTGCAAATGTGTAACTGTCCTTGGATCTGAAAAAGAAATTAGAATGGTTAAGAATCACTTTTGATTAGTTACTACATTACCTGGTAGTAATATGGATGTGATTTCTTAAAACTAGGGCGCCATTGTTATCTTTTTTTAAGCAAGTGTACTTTTTTTTATTTTTCATTTCGTCTACTACCTCCACCATAGGTGCGACGTTCAGCTTTGATGCAGAAAACAAGGATTTGACTTCAATTAATGCATTTTCTTCATTAATTAACCCTAAAGGGAATATAAATAAATTACACCATTTTATTACAACGATAAAATTTTACCATCAGGAGAGGCCCCTAAAAATTCTGTTTCCTCATCAATCCATAAACCGGAAGACTGTACGGTTAAGCCAGTTTTCTTTTCAAATAAATTTATTGCCACTCTTTCTTTTGCCATCCCATATTCGGTGGCATCCGTAAAGTTGTTTGTTATTCAGGCATCGACCTACCATGTTGTGACAGGGTGTATGTGGTAACCGATTCATTATTGCTCCATATAGAGAAGCTGTTAACATGTGCGCTCTCTCATTTTCAAAGGTAGGGTTGCCAAACTGACCCTTTGAAACCCACTCAATTTGTTGCGTTTGCTATCATTAGTATAACAGAAGAGCGTAAATAGTGGAAATAGTGAGAATGATATTTATTTTGTGCTTGTTTCATTGCATAGCCCCGAGACAGTTGATAGCAAATTTTGCCCAAAAATAGCGGATGATTGCTGTCTTAGAGAGTCTGATTGCGGTACTTTTTATATCTAGTGACTTAAACGCACTAAAGTTTAGGCGCCCTCTATGGGGAATCGGTAGGTGTTACCATTATAATTACAATCGAATCTGTTGACTGAAATTTCATGAAAAATGTCGATTTTTAGCGACTTTAGCGCCGCGCTTGGCAAAATCTGGCAACTTCTTTAAAGGTCCCTCTTAACCGTAAGGGTAGATAAAGTGAAACAAATGATTGTGCATTCTAATGATATCTGTCATTCTTATTTGAAATGCACGATATAAAATGACGTTCAGAACATATGACAATTCTGTTTCTATGGAAACGATCGCGACGGCAGAACCTAAGCTTGCTATTTTTGATGTCTGTAAATTACATTCAGAACTGTCAGAAGCTTTACAATGATTTATATGGCTTCTGCTATAAAATAAAGTTTTGTATTATACACGACGATAAAGGGAAACTAACCATCTCGTGAAAGTTAATTCACTCAATGGTTAAAATATCCCTTTATCGTCTTGTATAATAAATAACTATTACTAAGGGCAGACTTAGGTTATAGATGGTTATTATGATTTTTAAAGCCACATGTTTGAAGAAAAAAACGAGCTGTTCCAATTGTTTCCAAGTGAATAGAATTTCGCTTACGTATAAAGAACAGTTTACACGCATTACGCTATTTATACTAGTTAGTGAGAATGCCATACTTTGTCATAATTTCCTTTTTTTATGCCCATGAGATTATTTCATTCCAATACGGCTAATCGAGCGGATCACTTTTTCGCTGGTTTTAATATTTTCGTGCTTGCCTAGTTATCTACAATAGTATCGTGCAAGTAGGTTTAAGATGTCTAGCTCGGTCCTCCTAAAAAAATATGTAGTAGTGAACAAATAGTACATAAACAGTAGAAAACTCTCTTATTAATTTCGCATCTTAATTTTGGTCCTCGACCTTCGGCTAAAAAATAACTTCACTAGGGTTCGCCATTCAAAAAACGTGTGCAATGTTTGTCAATTACATTTACCCTAACAATACATCGCCATTGCTTCTTATTTTCAGAACACTCCGTATAGTATATTATTGCCCGGAACTAATGAAGACACTTATCGTTAATCATGGTCCTTTCAATACTCCACGAGACGAAAAGCAAAGTAGTATTAGAGACTTTATTTTTATTGACTTACGGTACGACACTACCGCTAGTCCATTAATTCTATTTCGAGTTTCCAAATCTGGATGCGAGCAATATATGCTACACTCTAAAAGTATAAACCGGCGAAGAAAGAGAACATTTTGGAAATTTAATAGGTGGAGATAAAACGTATATCGTCAGTTTACGCATAAATGAACGTGCATTAACTAACTTAGCACATTTTAAAATTCCTTCACATTCCATCCAAATGTGATATTTTAACTTTAAATGGGAAATTAATTTATCTTGAACGTGTTAGAATTTAGTGTATGCCAGAGATAGGTGGGGTACCTGCAAAATAATTTATTACTTCATTTTCGGTACACGGGTTTCGACTCAATTTACAGTATTAATTAATAGTGTGCAACTATTTATCAATTAATTAGTTCGACGCAGTACAGACAAAAGTTTTTGTGTAGCTATCTAAATTATGAATGAGTTTATTTATTAGCTTCCCTCTGCTCTTGTGCAGCGTGACCTGAATATTAAAAGAAACTGCCATGAAATATTTCAGGCTGAAAAATTGTATTTTTTGATTCTCATGGCACTTTTCGCATGCAGCTTTATGGTACTTAATCTAAAAGAAACACAAAGATAGACATCGGAATAATAAATGTTTGCGAGCTATTTTCTAAGATCTATTCTCCTTATAAAAATTCTATGTATGCATTAATAAATTCCAAGCAAATAGTTATGAATTTAATTTAGTTTCACATAATACCCTATAACGATTCCTAAATCGGTTATAAAGGAAAATTACGTAGCACAATGTAATAAAACTTTTCACGAGCGATGTCGTGGTAGACAGACATTAATTATCGATTTTTTGCGTAATTTTCCCATTCGTAAGGTTATTGAAGTATAGAACCTTGGGCTTTCCGTCGCTTTTGAATTGATAGCGGAAAGGTTGCGATAGAAAATTATGAAGCAATTTTGTGGGTGCCATAATCATTAGTCTTTCGAAGCGCGATTTCTTGCGCATGTTCAAAGCAGTTTGTAACCACACGATGTTTTACAACGTCACCACTCGCTATTCCAGAAATTTGCTACTTCGTGGATTGTTAAAAGATAATGGACCTCGAGTATTACACTTTGCATAGAATTTACGTGGTTCCGAATTGTATATCAACATTATAACATAATAGAACTCTGGTTCCTAGATGCTGCCTTCTCATTGTGTTGATGAATAACGGCATTCACATAGAATAAAATCAGTTACAACACATAATTTCTCCCGTATGAAATAGTTGTACGAGATTTAGTCAATTTTCAATGAGGAAGGAGCCGCCCAGGGAATGAGTTCGGAATTTATCTCGACGACTTTTAGCACGGGCTTTTCTCTAGGGAGTAAAATATTTCAGGAGCAGAGAAAAGAATAGAAAAATGTGTCGTCGGAAGAAAAAGCGATGTGTACAATGTAAGAAAAGCTGAATGATAAATGTTAAAGGGGGATTGCAGACGTATTGTAATGAAGACGAGAGGACGAGGGAATTCATATCAGTCAACTTAATAAATGCACGTGCTTTTTTTGGAAATAGACGCGGATTTTAGAAAACTCTTAATTCCGTACTTTAACTACACTCGTTTCTGTCGTATGGGAAATACAGCTATTAAATGTGGGCGATTTCCAATATTTTCGCCAAAAAAATACTGAATAAAAAACGAAAACTATGAAAAGTTGTCACAATTAAAAAATTACGATGGACCAAAAATAATACTACAATGTCACTCGTCGACAGATCGACCTGGCCTAATATGGTCAGAGTTCTTAATACTTGTCAGGAAACAAAATTAGGAAAGCGAAGGAAAAGCTTAAAATTTTATATCCACATGTTTCAGTGTCGGCGATGCACGCAGCTAAAAGTCAGAGAGATTAATAAGTAAACAGTTCTTTTAGTTTCTAAAGTGAAACTTTGTAAATTTACTTTTTTCAAACGTTTTGAACTCCACGGTCACATCTCCCATTTTATAGATCGAACAGTGTAAATAAATTTACTGTTTAAATTGCGGCATTTTTGTTGCTTTAAATAAATAGATGTCTCTTGAATGATTTGCCGCAAATATTTGAGCAGAGATCTTTGCAATTTTGTTCATCTATGCAAATTAGTTTTTCATAATAAAAAATTGACAATCAAATTCGCGTACACAGCGATTTTGATGGCTCACGATCATCAAGTGAGCATTCGTTTCTTGGACAATGAGTTAATACGTTTGGGCGCCTACTCAATCAAATTCAGAGCATAAATACTATTTTGATATATTTTTGACAAAATTTACGTTGTCATATAATATACCAAATTAGATACTACGAGGGGCGGTTTTATATTTCAGGACTGGGCATGAAAACAAAAGACTAGACTAATCCAGTATAAAAATATTCATTTCGTTTTTTAGTAAAATGACCCCAGATATTTTAAACATCTAATTATTTTCATTGATTTGTTGGCTCGAATAGATTTTTTTTTAATTCATCACAGACTAGAACCACTAACTAAATTGTTATTGATAAAAAGAAAAATAAAGGAGTTTTTCCAAAAATGACTTGAAGGAACACGTATGTAAATGTCATCGATAACTGCACACTTCACACACGACCCTCACCTATTCAGCTGGTTACATTGCCCATATCACCTTTGAATATATCACCTTTATTCCTAATATAGATAAATCCATTGTTACTCCACGTATTTCGATTAGAGAACATTTCTTCTTCATCGTTCACCAGCAGCGCCCTCAACTCCGTAAGATCCTTAGTTATAACACTCTTGGTACCTTTGAGTAGCGACGAAAATTAAGTCTTTAGTTTGGCGACATACGAATTTTATTATGATAGGACGTGGTTTGTTAGGATTCTTTGTAGGTAGTCGATGACCTCAATCAATGGCATTAGGTCCAATATCTACGTGTAGCTTAGCCTTGATAAGATCGATTACAACTGGTCCGACATCTTCACCTTTACCCTCTTTAAGGACCAAGAATCCTCAAATTGGAGCGCCGGGAATATTGTTCGAGCTCGTCAATCCCTGCATAGTAGTGGTTTTTGTTTTATATGAAAACGGTGGTCACTTAAGAAATTTAAGATGGCACCGATCATGCAAATATTAACTAATATTAGTCAAATAATGATACTAACTAAATACATGTAGAAAGGCACAACTCGTAGAAATACTTGAAGAAAAAGTCACACCATTACAGTCGTTCCATAAGCTGATGGTATTATCATAGATGGATCAATGCTAGTGAATACGTTACACGGAGAAACACTTGAAGTACATTTCATGAATATGCCAAAGATGTCATACTTCCTGCAGTGGTATGTTTCACTAATAAACACACAAGAATTGACATTGTAATTTTGAAAGTTAACGTCCATAGCAAAAATAGGGTAGTGTGTAATTAACGGTAATTAAGGTACAAAACCGATTAATTAACTGACATTGTGTTTGATGTGTACAAACAAACCAGTTTAAAGGCCGAAAGTAGATCTAAGAGGGGCAAAGGAATTAGGAGACGAGTATCAGGAGATAACATGGTCTCAATAAACTGGGGAAATTTCCTCAGGAATTCGACAAAATAAACAAGGGCTCTATCACAGCAGACAACATAGCAACGATGGTAAACATGCCTTCAACCATTAATATCCCAAAGGAAGACAACGTACTTAGCAACACAGACATCAGTCGATAAGTTGACTCCATGGGGAGGCTGCAAGATACTTTTAATCAATACAAATGATACCGATATTGTTATCACTGCTATAATTATCACAATTTCTGTATTTGTGAGATGTTGGGCGTGAGACTATATGGGTTGCCTTTGGTACAGGTAAAAAGATACCAGTGCATGACATTCCTAGCGCCATAGGGCCAGAGAAAGACATGGGACTACCCTCCTTCCATGCTTTTACAGGATGTGATGTTGTAGGTTCATTCCATGGCAAAATCGAGAAGTCCGCCTGGAGAATTTGGGATGTCTTTGATAATATATCTGGTATTTTTGCAAAGATCAGTTTCCTACAAAACTTGAAGACAAAAACTTGGAGATTCTGAAGAGATTTATGGTCATAATATATAACAGAACATTTACAATAGTCTGTGTCAATGATGCCAGATTAAAACTGTTCCACCCACCAAGGGTGCTCTATTGTTACACGTAGAACGCTCGGCATTCCGCGTCTGTAGCCATCCGCGTTGTTATAAATATTGCGTAGTATTTTTTTGGAAACGAGCTTTCAATGAGATTAATTTATTTTAACCGCGTCGGCCAGTAATTTATGGTATGAACGAATGGCGTACCGCATTTGTTAACCTGGAAAACAATGCAGTCTTTTTAAAAGTGTCGTAACTTTTATATTAGCAACTTTTTAACAGTAACAGTCTGTTATATTGTCTTGATTGAGCTTTGCTGATTTTGCAGCTTGAGGTCCATAAAGGTTTGTTGTAAAATTTATTGTCAGTTTGCTTTTTGCCTTCAGAAAGCACAGTTGTATTTGCTTCAATTTTAAAATTCTTGTTTCGTGCACGTTTTGTGCTGTAAATGTAACAAAACGTAATGTAGTTAGTTGTAATTATAATTACTCCCCTTATTGTAAACTATGTTGCCTTCAGCTGCAGTTAACCCTTGAATGTGCTTGTTTCACTTTAAATGCTATTCCTATTTTATTTGTATTAGGATTGGCCATTTGTTAATTTCATTGGATGTTTATTGATTTCAATCGATTAACGACTTCAATTTTCTGTGTATGAATTACCCTTTTTTTGAAGGTAACTGATTATTTTCACCCATGCAGAGGTAAAATGCCTTACTTAATTATTTAGCGGCATTCACCTCGAAATACAGCTGTAGTCTTAAGAGTTACCGTATCCAGGACCTTAGATACATTCTTGATTCTAGGAGGTTCGGCTAATTTACCTATGTAGTCCATTATGCTTGATGTAATAGACTTTGGAATGTTTCATAATTTGCAAGTAGAAAAGGATCTGGAGTTGTTGTAAATCACGGGAGTAACTATGAATCTCTTTGGCGATTTTGAACGGTAACGCGAGGAAATTGAACCAGAGAACTTACGTGAAAGTCCTCCTATCGTAGTTGGTGCACACGATTAAGTTGGCACGAGTCATAGTTCCGAGCAGCTACCTCCACATGGTTCCCGC